ATCGTCCATTGCCTTTACATTTTCACACTTACCATTAAGTTAATATAGTAACAGAGATTCCATTGATTTTCGAAACAAAAGAACACTGTGTACTGCTTAGTTTTATGATATTTTCCTTGGTTTAATTTAATCAGTGGTGTGGAAACACAAATAATAAATGTATCAAATAGAGTAAATGTGAACTAAGAGCTATGTTAAAAATAAAATATGAGTATTTTGTATTACCATTTGATAATTAAATATAGTTAGACATATGCAATAGATTTTTAAAAAACAATAATCAACGACGTATAATTTAGTTATTAATGATATTCTTTAGTTTAATTTAAGCAAATTCATACAAAACATCTATACATTATAATTTTTATACTGTTTCCATGAAAACATATCAATAACATTATTTTCATAGCTTAGACGCTTTAAAAAATCCAAATTAGAGCCGGAGTTGATACAGCAACGGTTATAGAATTTTTTTTCTAAAGTAAAAAAAAAAAAAAAAATAATCATTGACTTAGTTTCAGAATAAATAATCCATGATAAAAGGTTAGATTAAAATAAACCTACCTTATAGTTATGGAAAATATTATTTTTGATTTCTTTGTATCAGCTGTCTGAAATTGTGAAATATGCAGTTTAGCAGTTCTTCTTGTTTACATTTAATTGTCAAAGCAAATATAAACAAACATTTTTAGTGTTTTCATCGCAGCCATGGAGACCAATCAACTTTTAAAATGTTCACATCAGAAATTTTAAAGCCAAAGGGGCAAAAAAAGGGGCGAAATGTGAATAGTCCTATAATGGTCCTTGGTATAGTAGCTATATTTTTGTAACATTTAAGCCCAGTTGGTTCAGTAGTTTTTGCACCTATTAGTAACACACGTACAGACATACACCATTAGATTTTTATATAATAGTATAGATGTAAAACTATGATTACATAGTATTCTTGTACGAATCAATAGTGAGGAAGAAATGTAACATTAAGGATTAGTACGTAAACATAAAGAACAATACAACAAACATTTTTATAAAAATAATTGTTTGTTATTTATTGTGCTTTATTCAAGAAAAAGGTACTTGCTATACTAATTTTTAAAAGTAAATAATGTGCACAGTAGCCAATCCAAAATATTGACCAAACAAACATTAAACATAACATAGTAAAACGAGTAACAATAACTCATTGTTTAACAGCTATTCCATATTATAAAATCAATAAAAACAATTCTACTTGGCTAATTATGAGGTAATTTGATCGCTATTTCAGCTAACCATGGTGATGAAACGAATGATTTTAAATCAAACCAAATACAAAGTACGAGTAATTATTTCACATTATTTTCTGATAATGTTTCGTTTGCTATACAACTCTTTAATTATGTAATCTAAGTTTATCTGCAGCTTGCTCAATTAAAACTCTTCATTTGTTATTACTTGAGATCTGCTTAGTAACTTTTCCAATACGATTTAACAATGCAACTTCGTTTAACTATTAGGTTTTTATTTTAGAAATGTTTGTTGTGAATTGCTGTGGGTAAAATCATTAGTTTCTTTAAAGTACATAATTATTTCTATTAGTTTTATAAGACCTAGTGGTTTATTAGGTGAATTATCCAAACTAATTATGTGCAGATATTAAGTTATTTCATATAAGTAATGTGTTCAGGTAAATAATTATTAGGAAACATAAATATAATATATTAAACAATACATGCAATAAGGTATATATAATGCGTCTAAATAATGCAGAGACAATTAAAAACACCTTTTACGAATTTATATAGTTGAGTTCAAACAAGTCTTCCAAAAATGATTGACAAAGTAATATATATATATGATTTGATTCAATTATATACATCAAATTATATAAAAGGGAAAACTTTTCCTTTACTGTAAAGTCAAATTGCATAGGCTAGATTTAATTTCAGTTGTATATTAACCAGACTGTTTGTGAACTATTATGCATGTTTAGCTGACTACTATTATGTTATTATGAACTATTATGTTTAGCTGATATTACTAAACACTAAAGTTCATGGAACAGACTTAGTAAATATGTAAATACACTTACTTAGTACTTAGTAAATATGTTTATACATTTCTTAGGAAGCACCATGGAAAGCAAGTATAAGTCTTTTAAAAGGGTTTATAGGTAAAATGATCCCCAAACAGTGTTCACCAACAAAAGGGCTAACGAAGATACTGCCACCACAATCACAAGTTTCTATATTCAGCTCAAAGTTTGACTCAACCAACAAACTTGCACCTCTAGAGTTTAAGGTACAATCGACGACAGGTCTGGGATCAAAAGTTTCTTGCTTTCTCACTTTAGACTGACATACAATTCTTAAAGAACCACGCCATCCAGGCCTAATCTTCTATTTTATTTACAACAGTAGGCCTATATAAAAAGGAGTTTGTCAATTTGGTGTTATCACTGTATTAATTAATTAATTAATTAATTCGCTTAGTTTAAGAAAGTATTCTACTAAAGTATATGACAAAACGTGTCTTTTTTTATCCAAATAAACTTTCGATATACGGTACAAGCATTTAATCGTAATAGTTGATCATAGTATAATTTAGCACCTATGTAATTCACAAGCTAGAGAACTTGTTATACTTTCCTGTACTTACGCAAATGTCTGAGATATTAAAACATTCATTCTTTTTTGTTTAATGTGAACGAAAAACCAATTAAAGTTTATCAAAATCATCACACCAGATACATATTCCAATATATTTTTTTTTTATTTACGTCACTTCCTCTTTGTATTACTTCCTCTAAAACTTTAAATAAATCTGATTTTAAGATGAAATTTATCTCTCTATTATTTATAATGGACCATAACTTAAACTATGTAACGATAAAATTTTTATAAAGTTGCAGTTTTAACATTTCCGTAAATACCAGAACCAATGTTGGGTCTTGTGACGATAAATACATACTGTATTCTTATTTAACATTTAAATTAAGTAGTACGTATAATACGCTACTGCACATTTAAGAATTAGACATGCAATGATTATTTATACGACAAAACAATGAATACGAAACTTTTTAAAACTTATAAGGCATACTCTTAAAACCCTAAACTTTATACATTTTAATCATTTTGCCAGATAGATTTAATTTAAGAACAGTGTTCACTTAAAGTCGTTTGTGTATACCAAATGTGTATTAACTTGATTAATTATTTAAAAAAGCTAATTACTTTAAAGAAGTAGCCTGTTATTCACTGTTGTATAGTATGTGATACTCTATATAACAATGAATAAATAATGGAATTTCGTACATGTTTGTATCTCTATTTAAAAGTTATTTTCAACAAAATTAAAAAAAGAGTAGGTAACAAATTCTGAATCAATACTTGTTTTGTAAATAAACTTAAGTGTCGTGGGTCTGTATAAAGAGTTAGGCCTTATGTACAACTAAAACGATTGTTGCTACTTCCATGTTACTAACATAGATGGAAATATCCCTCATAAGTTGTGTGCGTTCTATTATTCGTGTAAAAAAGTCAAAAGAAAGATCATATAACGATATTTTTATACAATCGTATAACGGAAGGTGGAGTTAGCGTGCTGTCTGCACATTCCGACAGCCGGGGCGACGTCACAGTCTACCAAATAGGTTGACATTTCGATCACAGACATGGTATTCTGAATATATAGTTCTCCTCTAAAATAACAAGGAAAAGGAAGAAGAAACTAACCACACTTGTTATTGGTGAACAACATCTGTTTCCTATACGTGTGTTTATATAAATTCGCTTATATGTACATGATATGTATTATGTACTCTATTTGTGATTTTTTTTTATATTTAAATATCGTAATAAAAGGTTATCATACAGTTTGGAACAGCAAGACAATTGTTTGGAGGTAGCTTTTGTTAAAAAAATATTATAAATTTTGCTAAGGTTAGTGCTGGTTAGTGCTGGTCTAGGGATAGAGCACGGAGCGCTTCGGTGTCCAAGGTTGCCGGTTCAAATCCCACTAATCACCAATGGATTTTATCGATGTAAAAATGTCACAACCCTCTAGGACTAGCCTGTAGTAATGTGTAAACAGTCATGGAATAGAAATAGCGTCCTTGGATGTGAAGGTGGGATGGTATTAAAAATCTACCGTTCTGAAAAAAATACTCTTAATCTTTAAATTTAGTTTACATGTTATAATTTTTAAATTAATTTTAAGGTTTATCTAATAATCATACATCAAAAATGCAAAACTATTTTAAATTATATTCAATCAATTTGTTCACAAGGGCACGCGTTCAAACTCAGAAGTTCCAAATTATTATTATTATTATTTTTCAAATCTTTTACGTCTTTTATGTTCAAATCTGTTATGTAGGTTTATGTTCAAATCTTAAAGAAACTAAAAAAAAACTATAAAATATAATTGAAAGTATAATGATTTATTTTTGCTGCTATGTGATTCTATAGTAATTATAATACTCGATTTATTGAATTTAATCGAAAAATAATGCATTGCTTATATTGATATGGCAATGTAGCTCTATAAGGTAACAAACGGTGTTATAAAGATCTTTAAAACACTGTTTGTGAGGGCCATATACATGTGTTGTAGCACAGAATAAAAATACGAATGTTAGACGATGATTTTTGGTGATAGATAAAAAATAAACATCTATATGTAAATAATGAACAATCTCAGGTATCCAAATAAATCCCTTACCTGAATGCATATAACTCCGGGGTTATGAATACAATGCAATGTAAAAATGCAATATGATAACAATTTAAAATTAAGAGGTCTGAAAGCTTAATTTGGAAAATTATACAACAAACAGAAATAATAATGTTGGATACCTTCAAGGCTTTGAAAACTAGCAAACATTAAACATTATTTTAAATCATAAACGGCTAGTTAATTAATACTGTGCTTGTTTAGAGAGCTATGCATTGTATCCAGGAACAAACATTTTACAACCCAAGCCAGTGAGCAACATAACACCGGATTTAACAACTCACCCTGTAGCACTCCACAGCGGAGCATAGGCGTGTTTCACAACACAGGTGGAATGCTACACGTAACGTTCTTTCACGTATGTCAAGTAAAAACACGTCCAACGTTCGCGGCGTCGCTCATCAAACTGTAACCAAACTGTCCCGCGTTTCTGACCACTCCACCACCTTCCCTCCCATCGACACCCTCAACCACCCAACACCACATGCTGCTGCTAGCTCTCACACGTTTAATCACATTTGCCCCTCGGTCTGTACCTCTGTTGACTCGTATTGAGAGAATTTCCGCAACCTTTGCTCTACGTGATTCTTTACACTGCGCCAGTTGAAAGGTGTCGTCCTTTTCAATTTAGTCAGCACTTTGATGCTCTTTTATGTTGTACAGAAACACGGCTAGTTTGGCTTTTACTGCTCGGAGTTTATGTTTGTTTTACCAATCCTATGTTTGGCGTGTTTTGTAAGGATATATGTTTAAATGCTATGGTTGATTTAAATATGAATTTACCCTCTGATACAATTATCTAATATATATTTCCTTCGAGTGATTAAGTGGACACTTAGCTTGCCCATTTCTTAGCTTACACATTTTATTTTATAAGAGAAGTGATATTCGTTTCAGTAAATATTCAATGACTATGTAGTAAAGGTTGTGGCAGTGGGTTACAAAATGCTTTAAGATTGTTTGGTAATTTTTGAATTATGTATGCTGGGACCCAGTATGTACGCGAAATTTATCCCGTTATGTATTGTTTTACGTTTAAATTGTATGCATGCTTACGTTGAATCTTTGCACATTTAAAATATGGCCTATCACATATCTTCTACAACAGAATCTACTACCCCAGCTTTACAAAATATATTTTCCTTCTATGAAGATAATTGAGCCTCAATCATGCCCAAACCACCAATATAGTTCCGTTTTCAAATGGCTGAAGAAAGCATGACTTTAAACAGCTTTGAAATTCTCTCCACCCTCTGATAGTTGACACAAGAACAGTGAAACTTAAATAAATTACTAATAGACGTCAGAAAACCTAGTTGTTACACAAATATAAACAATACTAATTGTTCATATTACTATTTGAAACCATTATGAAATTCGCTGTTATACATAGATCACTTCCAATAATATTTATTCTTGGCTGAACATCGAAGAAATCAAATTAGCGGTTTAAATAGTCCTCTAAATTTACACCAAGTGCAACCTAGAAAAGGTTATATCCATCGTACCTGAACGTCCAAGTATATTTAAAAGTTTTGCCTAAGGAGCTGGAGTAGCCAAGAGCACTCAAGTCAACTTTACAAAAGAAGCCATCAATCTGGTGTCAATTGAGTCGGTCTTTTCTTCCTTGATATTCATGTCAAGTGGAAAATGTCTTTTCGAGTCAATGTGATACGTGAGATTCGTTCCTTTATTCAAATTTAATGGAATCAAATTCCTTTTTTACAGTCTTAAACTTATTCTACAAAGTTTATTTTTTTTTTTTTATTTCCATGTAAAGTATTCATTGCCATTATCTTTGATAATGTTGATCCAGTTAGATGTTATTACCGTTATATAAATCAAAATTCTATATAATGTCAAACATTAATTTGAAAAATACCATTTGAAATTTTATGAGCGTAAGTTGAACATTAAAATACGTTAAAAACTGTATTTCTGGTTCCTGATTTTTTATTCCATATCTATTTGTTTAGCAAAAGCCAATTAGCTCAACGTAACAAAATCTTTCTGTAAGTGGTTCTATCATGTAATTCGAGCTCTCATATTGTTTCAAAACTAATTGAGGAAAAAGTATTTAAAAAATTAAGTTAACTAACAATTTACGGAGTAAAAAGTCGTATCATAGGCCTGAATAACTGGCTTTTAATAGTTTTACTTATGTTCTCAATCTTCAGAGGTTTATTGTTTATATAAAACAACAAATATTCTAGCACTGTTTAAACTTTGAAATCACTCTATAAGTTTCTTAGAATTTAAATTAATTAGTATGAAATCTGGAACAGCTCATTTTAGTGAAATTATAAAAGTTGACTGGGAAAAAGAGTATCTGGAGGAATTGAGCAGGCCTTCTATGTAGCACAGCACGTAGTATCTGTTTATCAGGAAGAAAACCCGATTTCGTGACAATGAAAAGGAAATTGAGTTTGGTTATGCGAGAAAAACTAGATTATCTCTCCAGCAGTGATCTGAATCCTAACCCATCTCTTGCAGAACATCAAAGGAAGAATATTGTGTATTTGTTTGCGCTCAATTGAAAATCAGCTAATAATGAAACTCTAATGAAACTACTAATGAAAAGTGCAGTATTATTTATGTCTTTAAATTTTTTTAGTTGGATTGTTTTAGATAGTTATAAATTTATGTTATTCAATTAATATATGTATTATCAATTACTAGGAAGTGGCTGGTTTAGAGAGTGGTAGGATTTTCATGAAGACTTGGGTTCCGATGCTGTCTATAATTAATCATTTTCCGGTAACAGTGTTTTGATTTAGTGTTACAATAGTCTTTAACCCAATTAAAATGAACGTTCCACCTTTCTAAAACCCTAAAAGGACAGATACATCCATCTGCCCTTGACATTTCAACTAAATTCAAAAAAATAACTGACACAATAAATAATTTAGTTACCAAACGGAATGGGTTAAGTGAGTCTCGATTATGACTTTGTACGTACGTATTGTAAGATATGCTAGTTTAGCGTTGTCTATGCTGCTACGAAGTTGTGTTATGGTTACTTTACAGAGAGTGTTAACTTTGATGAACACACCTGGAAGATTATGAGTAAAAACTGAAAACTGAATTTATTTTCAAACTGAACTTCTAAATGGTTACCAAATAAAAAGTATAATTATTTTAAATAGCACAATACTTTCCTCAAATTTCAATGTTACAAAAATATTGATGATAGTAATTTATTTAGCAAGCCATAACTAGAACTTTGTTTTCTAACCAAAAACAAGTTTTTTTTTTTATATATATTAAGAGCGCAAAGTACGTCATTGCCGTTCATAAGTTATTTAAGTTATGGCTGCTTTTTTGTTATGTTATTTGCTTTGTTAACCGGTTGTTAACGCACTTGATCCGTGCTGTGATTGGTGTAGATACGCCAACAGTGAAATCAGCTGATTAACGAGGGGGACTGATCCATTCCTGTTCAAGAGCGTAAATAAGCTATTTTGTGTACTGTTTGCAGCTGTGGCAACGTAATAATTTCCATGCAGTGGTTAGAAAAAGATGATATGTTGAGTCAGGTATTATTAAGTACATCGTAGGTCTTTCCTCTAATCGTAACAATCTATGTTTGTTATAAATTACACAACCGAACTTTAATACAAGTATAAATGTGTGAAAAGTAAAACACAAATTGGTCATGTGGTTTATTTAATAACACAATTATCTCCCACAAAGCTCAAAGCTCAGCTATTTGTGTTTGTTCATTAGGAAGGAATTGATTTTGCGTCAGTGAAACGGAAATTGCATTTGGCGAAGCTCCAAAAACTAAATTATGTCTAAACTAATGTATGTGTTTATTTAGCTCATTAGTAGTTTATATGGATATAAAACTGTGTCCTTATGTATTTAGTAGCAATTTTGGTTTGGTGCTATTAACAGTTTTATTTTAAGCAACAAAATCTGTATTTCACTACAGCACATGCTGTTGGTGAACTAAAATTAACTACACTTTATTTATTGATACTGGCTTTTATTGAATGTAGTAAAATGTATAACAGAAATTAAGAACTAAGAGAATTGATTTAAATAATTACGGGTTGCAATTATTTAAATATTCCGACAATTTCAAACATGTTTCTATCATACACTTGATTGGATGGAGCGAGCTGGTCTAGTGGTTAGAGCGTTGGACTTCGGTGTCTGAGATCCCGGGTTCAAATCCCGCCAAATCACCAATGGATTTGGCAATGCCGCAACCCCTATGTTAGCCTGAAGTAATGTGAAAAAACAATCCCGGGCTCGTGCCTAGCATCCTAGGACAAAAATGTCATACACTTGATTTGAGCGATGTTCGTACGTATGACGTATACAAAATATCATAAAACCTTAGTTAGCCTAAAGAAAAGTAAAACACTGTATAAACCAAAATGATATGAGAGAACTAGATTTCAATAATTATTTATAAAACTGAATGTTCTATCTTTAATTCTAATGCAGTTAGACCCATCGATGTAGATGGATATTTATGGTTAAACGTAGATTATAAATCAACTATTCTTTCAAAAAATTCCACATTTTGTACTCATAACTTTTAAAACGAAAGTATTCGTATCTACTATGCAAATGCACAATATATTTGGCTACTCTAGAATTAAACTGGAAGAAACAATATATTTATCATAAAATAATGGCATCAATACAAACAACACATTTAGTTTCTAAAAAAGCTCTCCATCGCACAATTCTGAAAGATTTTACTCAACCGTATAATTGTCTACAAATGCGAGGAACTCCAAACGGAAATTGATAAGATTCAGCCAGGAGAGGAATGTCGTCTCTTGAGTGGCAATTTCCTCTTTTATGTTTTGAAACCGGTTTAAATCTAAGGTAGACAACTATAACTGCAGTTAGAAAAGTATAATGAAAATGCCATTTAAAAATAAGTTCCGGTCAAATATACATTTTAATTTGGTTTCTGTAAAAAGTTTGACTAGTCTTTTAGTGCTTTTAGTATTTATACTTTAGGTTCCTTTGGACTGAAAATGCTTATGTTTACCATTAGTACAATAAGTTTTCTTATATCCCATATTTTACTAATACCATTGACTATTGATATACTGAAGTAGACATAGGGGTTTTTACTATAAGCGGTAACAACCAACGTAAAACAATAAACTATCTGCATTTAAAATATATCTTTGATGCGTAATAGTTTATGATCTAATGATGTAAATGCTAAAATAAAGTGACTTGTTTAACTTTATGGCAATCGCTACTTGTCTTAAAAGTGTTTAAGACATCGTGTTTAAGCGATTGTAGCCTATATACAAGTGGTTGTGAAAACAAAAGAGTTTAAGAAACCGTTATAATGATGATATTGCAAATACAAAAACAAAATATTTACATATTAGATAAATAAAATCTTTAAAAAAAATTGGGTT